GTAAAGAAAGAGGTCACATGAACAGGCTGCTTTCATGTCATTGATGTACAGCAGGAAGAGAAGAGGCACAAGAATACTCCCTTGAGGAATTTTGAATTTTCCTTAGGTGTTCAGTAAGGTACAGTAAGCAAGTGTCTGTGGAATGGGACTGAAGATCATATAACCGACAATGACTGAGATGTATTTATCAATCTGTTCATACAAAATATTTTCCATGACCTTAGATAGTACACACAGGCCTGTAGTTTCCCTGGTCCAACTTACTCCCTTTTTTGAAGAGAGGAATTACGCTTGCATGTTTCATGCCACTAGGGAACATCTCCTGTTCTATTGACAGATTAACTATGTGTTACACATGGTCCTATTTGTAAGTCGCTCTGGATAAGAGCGTCTGCTAAATGACGTAAATGTAAATGTAAATGTATAATACCAAAGATGTTGGATAAATGAAGATGTCCCACTCAGGCCATTTACCATTGGAAAAAATGGTAAGTTCCCATCTGCTTAAGGGGGTGGCTCTCCCATAGGCACCAATGCATTAGCAGCTGGGTCTTGTCTGCTTAGTTCATTGACAACAGTAGTGAATAAGCATTAAGACTGTGTCTGCCACTTCAGTCTTGTCAGAAGTGACTTGACATTTAATATCCAGGCTGAGACTACTAGTCTTGGTCTAAAGTCTTGTTACTATATCCCTAGCTGCTTCAGAGACTTCCAGAGCTTACATGGATTGTTTCCATGCAATAACTGAAATTAGCCCACTCAACTACCCCATCCCCATATTGTTATTTATTTTGCTAATTTGCACCCCAGTATCTCTATTTGCACATAATCTCTTGCACATCTATCATTCCAGTGTTAATACTAATTGTAATTATTTTGCACTATGGCCTATTTATTGCCTTACCTCCATAACTTGCTACATTTGCACACACTGTATATATATTTTCTGTGGTATTTTTGACTTTGTTTTGTTTTACCCCATATGTAACTCTGTGTTGTTGTTTTTATCGCACTGCTTTGCTTTATCTTAGCCAGGTCGCAGTTGTAAATGAGAACTTGTTCTCAACTGGCTTACCTGGTTAAATAAAGGTGAAATAAATAATAATAATAATAAATAACTGATGCTGATGAATACTGTATTCACATGTCAACTGATTCATTTACATCTGGACCAACCAAGCTAACATCAAATGTTCCCACAATTTTAGAGAATATTCCCTTAAGAGTCTCATTAGGTCATTAACTAATGTTTTCATAGGAATGTTCCTGTGATGTGCAAGTAATGTTTCCAAGAGACCATTCCCTTAATGTCAAATAGAACATACCCAGAAAGTGGTTACCATGTTCTCAGAACTTAAGATGTTGTTCTAGACATGTTTCATGAGAACGTTGCAAGAACATCCATGTGTCCAGTTTTCTGTGGGTTAGGAGAATATTCTATCAACGTCCCACCATACATACACAGAACATGGTTGCCATGTTCTCAGAACATAAGATATTAATGTTCTACACACGTTTCATGGGAACGTGGCAAGACCATTTATGTGTAAAAAAAAACAACATCTCAGACATGTTTGCTCTAAATGGTACTGTATATGTGGTGTGGATTTCAAGAAGATGATTGAGAGATGCTCAGCTATATATACACTGAACAAAAATATAAACGCAACATGAAACAATTTCAAAGATTTTACTGAGTTACAGTTCATATAAGGAAATCAGACAATTGAAATAAATTCATTAGCCCCTAATCTATGGATTTCATATGACTGGGAATAAAGATATGCATCTGTTGGTCACAGATACCTTTTTTTATTTAAAGGTAAGGGCATGGATCAGAAAACCAGTCAGTATCTGGTTTTCTGGTGTCCCACTCCTCTTCTATGGCTGTGCGAAGTTGCTGGATATTGGCGGGAACTGGAACACGCTGTTGTACACGCCAATCGAAAGCATCCCAAATATGCTCAATGGGTGTCATGTCTGGTGAGTATGCAGGCCATGGAAGAACTGGGACATTTTCAGCTTCCAGTATTTGTGTACAGATCCTTGCGACATGAGGCCATGTATTATCATGCTGAAACATCAGCTGATGGCAGCGGATGAATGGCACGACAATGGGTCTCAGGATCTCGTCTCGGTATCTCTGTCCATTCAAATTGCAATCGATAAAATGCAATTGTGTTCATTGTCCGTAGTTTATGCCTGCCCATACCATAACCACACCACCATGGGGCACTCAACATTGACATCAGCAAACTGCTCGTCCACATGACTTCATACACACTATCTTACAAAACTGCACATTTTAGAGTATCCTTTTATTGTCCCTAGCACAATGTTCACCTGTGTAATGATCATGCTGTTTAATCAGCTTCTTGATATGCTATACCTGTCAGGTGGGTGGATTATCTTGGCAAAGGAGAAATACTCACTAACAGGGATTTAAACAAATGTGAGCACAATATTTTAGAGAAATAAGCTTTTAGTGCGTATGGAAAACATGGAACATGGGACCAACACTTTACGTGTTGAGTTTATTTTTTGTTCAGTGTAAATAGAATGTTCCCCTTCCTAATGAAAAACTGGACACTCAATCATTAGGGGAACATTACAAGTAACATTACAAACACGTTCTATCTCCCTAGACTTGTTAGCTGGGAATGCAGGGAGTTGTACAATTTCAACATTATATCAGACATATTTACTTTAAATCCATTGTTCCTATAGGTTATGTATTATTGTAGGTAATATCTGATTTATATATTAAATAATGTCGTATCAAAACCAATTGATAGCTTCGAGCAATACGTTTCCCTTCATGACGACGTGTTTGGCCAAAACATGGCTTGTGCAACAAGGAGGTGCATCTTGGGATATGTAGTAAGTAATTTAGGTACATACCGCCAATTCTAAATACTTTAACCATCAAAACACAACAAGGACCATGATGCTGCTCGAAATTGCGCATGGGCATGGGATATTGCAGACCGCTGATGACCATAAAGAATGATAGAGGCTTCTAGTGCCAAAAATATTATTAGCATGGGCGGCGCCATTGAGCGCTTCCACCATTTTAATGTGGCCAACTGGGTGGGACTTCAACTTCATTGGCTGATCCCTCCTGGTGACCCTGTTGGAGTCATGTCCAACCGGGTCCTCGTGAGTGATCAGCCAATCGTGAAGAAGAAAATTGACTTCTTCAAATTGGAAATAGTCTAATGGAGCTGCCTATGCTGTCACAGACGCTAGAATTGCACAGCTACAAAGATGAGTCCTCTATATATCTCTATGCTGATAACTCATCTAATATGCTAGCTACTTCGTTGAAATAAAAGGTACCAGAAAACTGCGAGCGAAGCACCACTGGAGCCATTTGAGGAGAAAGTAATAAAGTAAAATATGTTATTTTGTTCTGGTTTGTGTAATTTGAAGGAAGGATGCATATCGAAGTATTTCTCAAATACACTCAATCTAGCTTGCTTTCTGAGTCAGCCTGCCCGCTCGGCGCCTTGAAACAATGCATACCTACAAAGCAGTTCGGATTTGTTAGGCTAGTAGCTAACGCTACATTTATCATATGCGAAGTTTAAATGGTAAGCTAGCTATCTAATGATATCATTTTCAGCGCTTCTACAACACACTACTCAACATTTTAGGTGTAGTTACTTCAAGCGAACTAGTGTAGTGTGTACGTTCGCTTGCTAGGTCTTTACATGGCGTGCACATTTAGGATTTTGCCGATTGAGAGGCTAGTTAGCGAGCTAGCTAAGCTAGCATTGCAACCCCCCTGACCGCCATCTTTTTAAAGGAATAGATGTGATGATGCGCAATCATCATGCACACCATCGCTACATGTAAACCAGCTACTATTTTGTGAGATGAAAGGTGTATGCTCAGTCGAGTGGATAGCTACTTAGCTGTACATTAAGCCATATGTATTTTAATTGCTAAGTGTGTCAGATTTTGGCTTAACTATTTTCCTAAAATTGGACGTGACATGGGGAAAAAAGTGTGCTTTTGTGAATGTTTATCTCTGCATCATTGCTGTTGCCTAGCTACAGATTGTTTCACCAGATAATGTGAATTAACCAAATATTTTTGGTGTCCACTACTGGGAGTTACAGGTTAGGTACTGTTTGGTGTACCTACAGATTGCAACACCAGATAATGTAATTACAGGTTTTCAGCTGGTATTGGTGATACAATCTTCGTTCTCGATTTGTGGAAACGGGAGTCCTATAACATGAGTTGCAGGGGCTCTTTTTGAATTTAGAAAATGCTCCGTTATTAAAATATTTGTTTTGCTCCATGAAGTAATCCAACAATGTGTACGCTGCCATCTTGTCTCTTTCAAGTCTTCTCTCATTGATCGAGACAGGGCTGTCATGACATGCGGCACTTTGGGGTGGACACCCACCTGCCTCGATCAATGGGAGAATATTTGAAATAGACAAGATGGCAGCGTACACATTGTTGGATTACTTAATGGAGCAAAACATTTATTTATTTTATGGAGCATTTTCTTAGTTCAAACGCTCCACCTGCAACTGGACACGGACATTTTAGAAGATACATTTTTGGCCGAATTGAGAACGAAGATAGTATTGTTAAGGTTGGTCGAAAATTCTCTGTGATACACCAAACAGTACCTAATCTGTAGCTAGCTGTTACCCAGCAAAATGCTCAATTCTTTGCCCATTTTACAAATTCTAAGTGATCAGGTGTCTGTGTAGGCTATATTACTTAGGCTAGATGTAATGTGTAGTCACATTTTTGATTAATTTGACTTTTAGTTTATAATTTAGCTACCACTGATAGCTCAAAGTCTTTGTCATAAAATACTAGCCTAATTGACTCGAGTAAACCTTACTGTCTGGGAGGATGCCATCTGAAACTCCATCGGAGTGTCTCATATTTTCTGAACTGCACCCCTCCCTTCATTTTCTAATTCCAATATTTGTTTATTTTGTTTGGCAGGGCACGGACACTCAGGTCGTGAGATGGGATGTGTGTACTGCTGGAGGAATAAGGAGCTGAAAGAGGAGCAAAGTATCCATTGAAAACACTAGACTCTCAGACGTTTTACAGAACAGGGAAGAAGTGCTCTCCTGTTGCCAGTATGTCGGCTGTTCCTGCGGCAGTCCCGGCGCTTGTTAATCCCCCGCCACCAGAGTTCACCAACCCCAACAAGCCTGGCAGGAAAACTAACCAACTACAGTACATGCAGAATGTTGTGGTGAAGACTCTATGGAAACATCAGTTTGCGTGGCCCTTTTACACGCCTGTGGATGCCATCAAATTATGTCTTGCTGTAAGTCGAGTTCACACTCAGTCGTTTTTTTCTCTGTTATTGGTAGTTAGTAATGGGTAGAAGCAGATACTTAAAGGTAGTAGGGCTGGCCCCGCCAAAAAATAATCGTGGTCGACCAAAAGTTGTCTGTTCTTTCGACCAATCGATTGGTCGAAATGTTTAAAGTGTATTTTTCCATATATAGACACACCCTATGTGTTTCAATAAAATAAACTATATGCATTGCGCTTGTCTGATGCTTTAAGCTTACGGTTTGATGAAATAATACAAATGCCGCAAGAGGGCGCCAGAGATCTAGATAACCAGAAGAAAAAACTTAACCTGACCCTACTATTCTCCTCCCGCTCCTGCTGGCTTTCGCAGATTCTGCCATTACTCTCCTGGTAATAGGCTACACGAGGAGTCGGCAACCTTTCTCATGTGGAATGCCAATTTATCTTACCATTTCTACCGATCTGCGTGCGTGCCAGTTATGGTTTTCATGTGCACATTTTCTTTAAACAGTTTCATTTCATTGATAAGGTCTTCATATCTCAAAATCATTGTCATGTGGTTAATCAAAATTCTATCCAAATGAAAATTATACAAACCTAAAAAGTAACTTCTGTTGCCATTGCCAACTATGTAAAAATAGCCTACATAAAGCCTCAAATAAAAACATTGCAGCCAGCAGGTAGAACATATCCTGATTAAAAACAAATATCCTATGAATCACATTGGCTACACATGGCCTGTCTGCAACGAACTTGAAACATTGTGTCAACTATTAACTTTGGTCCGGCCGAAGCTTGCGCTAGTGAACTTGCAACATTGTATAAAATATTCTGGGCCCACAGTTTCCTGCGCCAGTAAGCTCGGGACAGACACAGCTGTAGGCTATTTGCATAAGGGATAAGAAGCAGTGCTCGACTTGGGCAGTAGCTCACCGGAGCTGAGTACCGGCACCTCAAATGTTCTACTGCTTGAGTTCCTGCTCCTCTTATAGAATATTAGCTCAAAAGTATTGTGGAGCTCCTGCACCTAAATGTAAACAGTTCCAGCTCCCAAAATGAGTACCGGAACCTATTTCATTCCAGGTCCAGCACTGATGAGAAGTAATCAGGTAGACCTATTTTTGATGTTCCACTGAATCAGAGCATGACATTTTTCCCTTTCACGCTTAGTGGTTATCGAAAGGGAGAGCGCTGGAAAGATTTTTCAAATACATTGAGGAACTATTGTGATTCTCAATGGATGTAAAAACATACTTAGTTTGCTTGCAGTTTGAGGTGAAGAAAAACATTACTTTGAGAAGCTCCACAGGTCATTAGTGGTGGTGCGTTAAGCCAATCAGAAATACTATCATCCCCAAATGGGCACATTTATATGCCTACATTTGTGAGCAGGCCAGGTAGCCTATAGGCCTACTTCTATGCGTGCGTGTCCTTACTCAACATTGACAGGATCGCTCCAAACAAAAGACAATGACTAAATTGACAACATTTGTAAATGGAATGAAATAAACCAAAACTTGTTTCTCACAAGTGTAGCATAGGCTGTGCTCTCTGCAAACAATATGTCCACTTTGACAATGAGAATTGGAAGACTGGAATAATAATATTGAATGCAATATAATTAATTACAGTAACCAAAGTAACAAACATTGTAGATTAGAAATTACAGGAATTAACGGTAAATGTACTCCTGGTGATATATGTAATGGGGAATTGATATACACTAACAATCAAACGCACACAATGAAGTTATGAAACAATGAATGTGCACAAATTGGCAGGAGAAAGCGCATTCTGGAAAGAGAAGTGCATTGTGCATCTGGGCGCTTGGTCAATCTGACTTCTGCATTGGCCATACAGCATTTACGGTGACATGGCCTCAGCAGAAGTCAGGGCATTCATACTTCTTGCGCTTCCGGAGCAGTGCAGAGCTGTTGTCAAGGAAGTGAGTTTGTGTTTATACAGGATGTACCGCCCCCATCTACCGTCAACCAATCATGTTTATACAGAGCCCTCCGCGTTTTTACAACATTTTGGAGGCGCATGGCGATACGGTACGGAGCTCGATTTGGCCTCTGCATGCCTCTGGAGGCTCCGCAATTGCGTCACACCCTCCATATGGAGCACATTTTCGAATCAAGCATAGATTGGCTTTTAGTCTTCCAATGGATTAGTTCACTGAGATGGGCGCAAAGACATATGTATTTATTTATTTGTTACTGCTCGACTAAAACAATCTTGGTCGACCAACAGACTAAAAGCTAGAATCCTTAATTGAAACAATAACAAAGCAGTCACAGCAGTCAGCTGAGGGATGGCCCTGGAGAAATGTAACCACTCTCAATTTCATAACCAGCGCTATGGATGCAAGGACTGATCATCGATGATATCAAAATTATAGTTTTAAAGGCCCAGTCCTGTCAAAAATGTGTGTTTTTATATATATTTCCACACTGAGGTTGGAAATAATACTGTGAAAATTATGATAATTCCCTTTTACTCTTAAGAGCTGTTTGAAAAGACCTCTGAAATTTCGGCCTGCCTGGTGCCATACCAATAAGAAAGAAAGTTCCAAACCTCTCCGCCAATAACGGCTCATTTTCAGTTTTCTCCTCCCCACTCAGACCACTCTTACAGTCCCAGCAAATTTCTTGAGAAATTCCTCTTTGCTAAGAAGCAATTTTTGTTTATTTTTTACAATTTTAATTGAAAACGATCACAGTAAGGTACTTTGTTGTTACCCAGAAATGATTTGATTTTTTTGATAAAAACAGCTGCATTGGACCTTTTTAACCATGTTTTGAGGCTATACAATGTTTGTTTAGATTTACGTTTACAAACATTGGAGTAAAACAAGATTATATTTTCGGTTCTGATAGGGTGTGACAGTTTAACTAAGCTCATGAGGCATTTATAATTTATATTCTCCAAGAATCAATGGGTATATGTCATTAATTTATAAGTCCAGAAATGGATGTAACAACTAAGGATTCTAGCTTTAACTCTACGGGTGCGTTCGTAAATTCGGAGCGTTGTCAGATTGTCCGTTTGTAAATTCAGAGCGTTTCGCTCTCGGAGTGTTCAGAGCGCACGCTGGATGCTCTGGCCGAGGCGTAGGGTTGATCGGAGCGTTCTAACCTCACAATAGCAGTCAAGCACCCAAGCTAACTGGCTAAAGTTAGCTAGCTTGCTAGCTACTTCCAGACATAAATGAGAGAACACCTCACTCTGACTTTTTTTCTCGCCCTAGCAGAGCTGGTTAGGCTGTTTTCATGTTATCCAGAGTGCTGATGATTGTAACTGTGCTGCTGGCAACAATTTAATTATGTTTTTTTGCAGAGGTTTGCTGACACCGGCCATATTCAACGGGTGTTGAGCGTTCGTAAATTCATCAGTTATTCTGCGCTCTGACACACTCGGACGAGAGTGCTCTGAAATCGAAGTAGATTGTCAGAGCAAATTTAGGCTCTGGGTAGAAGCAGGCTGTTATATTTGAATGTAAATACTCTGTGTGGATGTGTGTACATTTTGGTGTGGTTCCTAAGTAGTAGTTCTATTACGATGTGTAAAAGGATGAACCCCTCATTGTTCAACATTCATCTTAAAACATGTTGTTTATTTCCCGGCCATGATTTTATTGCTCCTTCATAGTGAATGGTTCTTTCCAATTGATGCTGTCATATAGGACTATCATAAAGTTATCAAGAGCCCAATGGACATGGGAACAATAAAGAAGAGGCTAGAGAATAACTACTACTGGAGCGCCAGCGAATGCATGCAGGACTTCAACACGATGTTTACCAACTGTTATATCTACAACAAGGTAAATTCTCCTTTACCATTAATTCCAAATCTAGATAGAAAAAAAGTTGTTCAAAGAGTATACTTCCTTTTTGCCGTTTTTTTCACAGGATCACATACACAGACATTTACACACACAGATGGTTTTCCAGTGACATTCATTTAAACTTTTGAACTTTATTTTGACTCATCAAGATGAGGATTGTGATTTGAATGTATTTATACTTGCTCTACTCTGTCTAGACGCGCCCCATCACCTTTCTAGGTATTGTTGATAGCTGTGATGATTTTGATCAGGCGATTTATCTGACCTTCACCTTCATCTTCACCCATAACTCATTCCCTCTTGTGTTCCCACAGCCTACAGATGACATTGTGCTGATGGCCCAAGCTCTGGAGAAAATATTCTTACAGAAAGTGGCCCAAATGCCTCAGGAGGAGGTGGAGCTGCTACCACCGGCCCCCAAAGTCAAAGCTGCCCACAAACCAGGAGGGCATGTTAGTGCAGGTAACTCCAGCCTTTCACAGTTGGGAGGGACTCATGTGCTGAGGAAAAGTTGTGTCTGTCTTTTACAAATGTTTGCTTCCCGCATCTTTCTTACAGGGGGCCAAGCACAGGCTGAGTCAACAGATTCACCCCCATCCACTTATCCCAGCTCCCCTCCACCTGTTTGTCAGACTCCTGTCATAGCAGCTACGCCAGTGCCAACCATCATCTCTGTTACCCCTGTCCAAGCTGTGTCTCCCGCTGCCTCCATGATGGCTGTGGTTCCCACGGCACAGCCAGTCATCAAAGTAAGTCCAGAAAGTCTTGCAGGTATTGGAAACAACGTTGGGTGTGGATATGGTGGGAGCATTTGGGTCTGAGCAAGTGTGATGTCATTAGTGTTTGTGAAAATGTGTGTATGTTAATTTGTTTGTTGTTTTTGTCTATGTATTTTTATTTTTTATAAAATAGATTTTAAAAAATGTAATGTAGAAATGTTAAGAAGTAAGTCCAGAAAGACGGGCCGCTCTAGGGGGTCTTTTTTTAAAGTTCTACAGTCTAACGGGATTTCGTGTGGGGGGGGCGTATTTTACAATTTTACTCCTCAAAATGTTTTCTTAGGATGTAATCTATTAGAAATCAGAGAAAATATGGAGTATTCCATGTCTTGATTAAGAGAAGCAGGCCACTGATGTAATTGTGTTTGACCACCGTCATTTCCACAGAAAAAGGGGGTGAAAAGGAAAGCAGACACAACAACTCCCACCACCTCAGCAATCTCTGCCAGCAGAAGTGACTCCCCTACCCAGCTCCTGGAATCCAAACAGGGGAAAGTCTCATCCAGGCGGGAGAGCACGGTGCGGCCCGTCAAGCCCCCAAAAAAGGGCACAGAGGACGGAGAGGTGCCCCTGCTCAGTGGCAAGAAAGGCAAGCTCGGCGAGCAGCTCAAGCACTGCGATGATATCCTGAAGGAGATGCTCTCCAAGAAGCACGCAGCCTACGCTTGGCCTTTCTACAAGCCTGTAGATGCAGAGGCGCTAGAACTGCATGACTACCATGAGATCATCAAGCACCCCATGGACCTCAGCACTGTCAAAGTAGGTCCCCTATTCACTCCCTCGACTCACTCCTAACTCTTCTAAATTACCCTCCAAAGCCTGGCTGTTTACTTGGTGGAGGAAAATAATGTGGCCACTGTTTTTATTTGGTGGTTAAAACTGTCCCTCAACAACAGTCGACACCGTAACAGCTAAGGGGAGGACGATTACATCGGTTTTACTAGTAGATTTGTTTTTGAGTTTTGAAGAGATGGCTTTCTCAGTAATAAGGCTCGGACTGTTTGTGCTGTATCCACAGAAAAAAATTGACAGTCAAGATTACCAAGATGCCCAAAGCTTTGCGACAGACGTCCGGTTAATGTTTTCAAATTGCTACAAGTACAACCCCCCCGACCACGAGGTTGTAGCCATGGCCAGGAAGCTCCAGGTAGGATAAAGTTAATCAGATATCCAAATCGCCTCATTGAAGCGCTGTCGGTTGAACTACCCCTTGTCTTCTTGTTTCTCAGGACGTGTTTGAGATGCGATTTGCCAAGATGCCGGACGAGCCCATCGAAGCCACCCAGCCCTCCACCACGCCGGTGGTAAGCAAGAGTACAGAGAGCAGTGAGAGCAGCGGCAACACCTCCAGCTCGGAGAGCTCGGACTCAGAGGAGGAGCGGGCCACGCGGCTCGCCGAACTGCAGGAACAGGTGGGTTCGGAACAGGTGGGTTCTCACAACCAAGGACCAAGATCCAAAACCCATGGATGGATGAACAGGGAGCTGCCTCCTTCATCCCCCACTTCAGATTTAGACCGCTAACACTTAGAAATCAAAGCCACTCCACGATGTTCAGAGATCCACAGTAAAAGTGACATAGTTAACCCTCTACCGCCACAAACTGTTAGAATATCTTGGTATCATGGCTTGCATGCTGTAACTGTAGAGCTCACATTTAGAGCAATGTTTTACATTTCATTCATACCAATGGTGACAGTATTTAGCTCTAATGAATAGTTTGTTGTGCTGCTAGGATGTTAACATGATCTTTGGAGTGTTCTATCTTTGTCCACTGATTTCCCCTTTGGCTTTCTTACCAGCAAATCACTGTGGAGCACCCCAATGGTAACAGGGCGGGGAAAAAAAACGGGTGTGCCAAACGTTTTCAGGTGATTTATCTCTTACTTCCCCGTCCCCACAAAACTATTTATATTTTTGTATTGCACCTTGTTCAAAGAGCGGTAGAGGGTTACAGGTGGGGATCAGAACTCTGAAACGGATTGTAAGTGTGCTTGGTAGATGGTAGGGATGGGGGTTTAAAATGAAATGTTGGATATCCGGATATTCAAAATACATGTGGTTTTTGAAATGTTTTTAACCTGAGCACTGCTGCGCGAGGGAGAGGCGCTGGCGCTCTATTGCTGCAGCTGCGGAGGGGCCGTTGTGTGTGAGATGGGAGCAAGCCAAGCAGACGGAGGGGGAGAGAGAGACGAAGTAACGTTAGCCAAGGCAACTCGGCCATAGCCAAGACTAGCTAACTTGTAGCAGCCCCAATGTTATTTATCATCCCATATAACACAGAGGAGGCTGGTGGGAGGAGATATAGGAGGATGGGCTCATTGTAATGGCTGGAATGGAATAAATGGAATGGTACCAAACACATCAAACACACGGAAATGTATTTGACTCCATTCCAGCCATTACAATGAGCCTGTCCTTCTATAGTGCCTCCTATGATATAACAGTGCCTTTCTTGACTGGAGTAGCCCAGAGAAGCTAGCTAGCTAGGCTAATTGATTCTAAAGTGCATTCGGAAAGTATTCAGACCCCTTGACTTTTTCCACATTTTGTTACGTTACAGCCTTATTCTAAAATTGATTAAATTGTTGTTTTTCATCAATCTCCACACAATACCCCATAATGGCAAAGCAAAAACTGGTTTTTAGAAATGTTTAGAAAAAAAAAACTGAAATTAAATTTACATAAGTATTCAGACCCTTTACTCAGTATGTTGAAGCACCTTTGGCAGCGATTACTGCCTCGAGTCTTCTTGGGTATGACGCTACAAACTCGGGCCTCCCGAGTGGCGCAGTGGTCTAAGGCACTGCATCGCAGTGCTAGCTGTGCCACTAGAGATCCTGGTTCGAATCCAGGCTCTGCTGTAGCCGGCCGCAACCGGGAGACCAATGGGGCGGCGCACAATTGGCCCAGCGTCGTCCAGGGTAGGGGAGGGAATGGCAGGCAGGGAGGTAGCTCAGTTGATAGAGCATGGCGTTTGCAACGCCAGGGTTGTGGGTTCGTTTCCCACGGGAGGCCAGTATGAAAATAATAATGTGTGCACTAACTGTAAGTCGCTCTGGATAAGAGCGTCAGCTAAATGACGTAAATGTAAATGTAAAAGCTTGGCACACCTGTATTTGGGGAGTTTCTCCCGTTCTTCTCCGCAGATCCTCTCAAGCTCTGTCAGGTTGGATGGGGAGCGTCGCTGCACAGCTATTTTCAGGTCTCTCCAGAGATGTTCGATCGGGTTCAAGTCCGGGCTCTGGCTGGGCCACTCAAGGACATTCAGAGACTTGTCCCGAAGCCACTCATGCGTTGTCTTGGCTGTGTGCTTAGGGTTGTTGCCCTGTTGGAAGGTGAACCTTCGCCCCAGTCTGATGTCCTGAGCGTTCTGGAGCAGGTTTTCATCAAGGATCTCGCTGTACTTTGCTCCGTTCAACTTTCCCTCGATCCTGACTAGTCTCCAAGTCCCTGCCGCTGAAAAACATCCCCACAACATGATGCTGCCACCACCATGCTTCACCGTAGGGATGGTGCCAGATTTCCTCTAGACGTGACGCTTGGCATTCAGGCCAAAAATATAAATCTTGGTTTCATCAGACCAGAGAATCTTGTTTCTCATGGTCTGAGAGTCCTTTAGGTGCCTTTTGGCAAACTCCAAGCGGGCTGTCATGTGCCTTCTACTGAGGAGTGGCTTCTGTCTGGCCACTCTACCATAAGGGCCTGATTGGTGTAGTACTGCAGAGATGGTTGTCCTTCTGGAAGGTTCTCCCATCTCCACAGAGGAACTCTGGAGCTCTGTCAGAGTGACCATCGGGTTCTTGGTCACTTCCCTGACCAAGGCCCTTCTCCCACGATTGCTCAGTTTGCCAGCTCTAGGAAGAGTCTTGGTGGTTCCAAACCTCTTCTATTTAAGAATGAGGGAGGCCACTTCCTGGGGACCTTCAATGCTGCAGACTTTTTTTGGTATCCTTCCCCAGATCTGCGCCTCGACACAATCCTGTCTCGGAGCTCTACAGACAATTCCTTCGACCTCATGGCTTGGTTTTTGCTCTGACATGCATTGTCAACTGTGGGACCTAATATAGACAGGTGTGTGCCTTTCCAAATCATGTCCAATCAATTGAATTTACCACAGGTGGACTCCAATCAAGTTGTAGAAACATTTCAAGGATGATCAATGGAAACAGGATGCACATGAGCTCAATTTCGAGTATCATAGCAAAGGGTCTGAATACTTACGTAAATAAGGTATTTCAGTTTTTTATTTTTTAGAAATGTGCAGAAATTTCTAACAAATAAAAAACAGATACCTTATTTAAAAACCTGTTTTTGCGTTGTCACTATGGGGTATTGTGTGTAGATTGATGAGGAATTTGTTTTATGTAATCAATTTTAGAATAAGGATGTAACTTAACAAAATGTGGAAAAGAGGAAGGGGTCTGAATCCATTCTGAATACATTGTACATGCTGCGCTTTCTCCCTAACCCCATTAAGATAAAACAACTGTTGGTTTCTTGTTGAAGCCTACTTCTCATTTCGCTAACTTTTAATTACGTTTAGCCTTTTTGCCACTTTGATTGGCCAGCATAAACAATAAGCTACACACTTGAATGCTACCGGTCTTTTTATGGGGCTCATGTCATAAAAACTACATAAAAAAGTTTGTTGTATTAAATTAATCATTTGAAATGTAATGGTAGATCTTTGTAGTATGTAACAATGTCACATTGATATTTCAATACAATTTAGAAAAAGCCTTTTCCGTGTTAAAGTATTCGAAAACTAATGTCCGTTCGGATATTCGAATAACTGTGCACATCCCTAGTAGATGGTCTTTCCCTTAGTAGTCAGCTTGCTCTTTGTCATGTAGGCCTAGATAGTCCTTTCTACGTTTTTTTGTAAGATGTTGATAGTTACTTTTTCCCTCCATTGTTGCATTATTTTAGTGTTTTAAAAATAGGACATTTTAGTTTTCATGGTAAGCATTTCGTTGGATGGTGTACACCACTAATAAAACTTGGTGACAGTGTTGGCTGGTGGCGAATGGTGATAGTGTTAGCAGTGGGAGTTTTTATGATTCTGGCAATGATTTCAAATGCTTTTGCTGTATTGTAGCTTCACTTAAAATATTTCCTCCTTTTTTCAAGTGGAATAACTCAAAGACCAATGTTTTAGTGCTGAAGACAAGGAAGTGTCAGTGTGAGGGTATTCACAAGTCAAAGTTATATATATATATTATTTTCTTTGTTCTATATTACGTACCTGTTTCTTCAAAAAGCAATCAGTCAATGCGTCACTTGGGGAGTCAGCATGTGCTTCTTGTTTTCAAGTGTTAGGTAGATAGCTACAGTACAGGCTGGTGGCCCGGTGTGCTTTTCTGAAAGCTTTTTTCCCAGGCCAATGTGAAATTATTTAACAAGACCTCATTTGCATGCCAGTATAGTACTGTTTTTCTGAGATAAATCAATGTACATTATACACATCACACACACACTTGATTGTTTCCTTTATGAATATTTTGAGCTTTCATTTGAGAAGATATGCAGAAACATGAGTGCTGTATAGTCCATTTATTAATGCACATAATAAACATGAATAAGATAACTTGAGGATGATTTAAGATGCAGCAAAAGCCAAGTAAATCAAACAAACGCATGAATTTGCTTGAAAATGAGACCCCTTCAAAGTCAATGGAAAAGAAAACATCCCTCCCAGGGCTAATATATAACTAATATCACTGTCATAATTGTGACATGAAATGGTCCAAGACAAAATGATGCAGATTCTCTGCAACAGGTTACACATTAAGCTAACCATCAATACCTGTATTTTGCCATCACTCCCAGTATCTTGCCTCAGTCCCTGCATCAGCTTCACCCTACATACACCAACATCTGGGCTCATAGGTGACTCTTGACTCTGCTTTTCTCCTCAGCTGAAGGCCGTTCACGAACAGCTGGCTGTTCTGTCACAGGCCCCAGTAAGTAAACCAAAGAAAAAGGAGAAAAGGGAAAAAGAGAAGAAGAAAGACAAAGAGAAGGACAAGGGGAAGGCTGATAAGGGGAAGGCTGATGACGAGAAGAAACCCAAGTCTGCACCGCAAGCCAAGCCAGCAAATCAGAAGAAGGCTCCAGCCCGGAAACCAAACAGCACGGTGGTGGCTACCAGGTACTACTGCCCAGTGTTTTCTTATGTGTTTCGTAATTCATCACACTCTCCTGGGTATCACAAGTAATTTGCTCAATACTGCCGGTAACTTTTGCTTTTGGATAAAAATGTTACTATGTCTCATGTTGCAACAGTGTTACGCAGTGCTGTGTTACACTTTGACTCGTATCCCCATGTAGCCTGATACAGACATGTCAGTCTGTCACAAATCATCTGTTCTTTGATCTTCTCTCAGTGCTAAGCTGAACATCCTGAGAGAGGCAAAAGCTGTAGGCCTAACAAAGATCTGACCAAAACAATTTCAGGCAACCGAAGAAAGGGTCCAAGGTGATGGTGGCGAACAACGAGTCTGAAGAGGAGCCGTCCCTTCCCATGTCGTACGACGAGAAGCGCCAGCTCAGCCTTGACATCAACCGTCTTCCGGGTGAGAAGTTGGGCAGGGTGGTCCACATCATCCAGTCCCGGGAGCCGTCGCTGCGTGACTCCAATCCGGACGAGATAGAGATAGACTTTGAGACACTCAAGCCGTCTACCCTCCGTGAGCTCGAACGATACGTCAAGTCCTGTTTGCAGAAAAAGCAGCGGAAACTTTTACGTAAGTTGTGAGCTATTACTTTTTCTTGGTGTTTTCACAGATGCCCTTCTCCAGTCACTAATGGTTACGGCTTCTTCAGGGATAAACCTCTCCTTTCTTTGTCTGTTGCCTAAATGCTTTAAAGCTCCCTTGCATTTGTTCCTCCAACCCCCCCCCCCCCCCCTTTTGAACAGAGGTTACTCACCCTCCCACCCTTTGCACATCTGGCGTTGGTGGTTCATTGAAAATTGGCCTTCAGTTCAGATAAAATTGTCGCTCGTATGCAGTGCAGTTTGTGACAATTCACGTACAGTGCTTCTGTTGAATGCGATGACAGAAATATAGCCTAATTCAAGAGAGCAAAACTGACTTGAACTGGAACTATTGTTTTGGTCCAATTTCATTTTAAGTGGACTCGTTAGCACCACCAAAACACAGAAGAAATACTAGATGTTAGAGGGGACAAAGACGTGCAGCTCTTGACACATCAGCAAGGCACCGAATGTGGGAACTTATTCCATGGCGCTGTGTGTCTCTCGCAGCGGACATTAAGGAAAAGAGTGCCAAGTCTAAGGAAGAACTGGTTCAGGAAAAGAAGAAAGAGTTAGAAAAGAGACTACGGGACGTGAGTGGACAACTGAACCACAACAAGAAACCGCCTGAAAAAGGTACCTGTGTTTCAGAGCTCACACTGTGCAACAGGCTGCCAAATGAGCTTAGAATAGTTTAGGCAAGAGATGGGCAAGTGAAATCTAGGCCAGTGAGAACTTGAGGCCTTGATGGCTGTTTTGTTGTTGCTTTGTAGAATTAGGAGTTGTTTCTCTAGTTTCAAGGATCAGTTACCCCCCCCCCTAGCGACGGTCTAGGCATGGAGCTCCTCATATCAGGAAGTGGCATAGATCTACTTGAGTCGTCACTGTCCTGTAGCTTTATGATGAGTGATTCCTCACAAAACTAGAACAGGACCATGATTTGGGGGATTTTCGTGAAATCGCATCCATAGAAGGGTCCTTTGGAGGAACGATTGTTGACATATATTTGACATTTGTGTCTTAAAGTGTAATTGAGACATAATTAAAGGAATAATCCACCCCCAGAAAGTAAACTCTTTAAACTCCTGTCAATTTTTAGAGTAGTCTGTGTTCAATGAGTGGGTAAAATAACTATTTTCACCATGTTTTAACTTTTTAAGTGGTCCGTCTGTGAAATCAGGAAATCGTGTAGGAACGCGTCATACGTATAAGGTACTCATCACTGGAGCTGTCGGATAACACACTATAACATCTCATAATGCTTTTAAAACAATTACTTGCACTCCAGATCACCAAATCAGCCAATAGATGGTATGGGCATACTTGTCTAAACATATCCATCCGTTTATATCGTCATGAAAAAGTATATATTTCACTTAGATGTGCTCAATCTTAACAGTGTACCAGATTATTCAACTCCGTTTTTTCTTCAAGTACCATCACACAATGCTCCCTGTGTGTCTGTGGGAAAGGGCCGTTGTTGTCATAGCTAGCAACGTCTGCACTCTGCACACTGAGGCAGACTGAGACGAACTGCAAGTTGAACATGGTGAGATTGTAGACTCCTAAATTGATAGTGCAGTTTGTTTAGGCGATTTTACAGCTAGCTAGCTACTTCACATGCTGATATTGACTGGTATTATTGTGTGTAGCTACGTTTGCTAGCTAGCTACCAACTAGCTAGCCAGCTCAGGGAGAGAGTATTTGAATTATGGGTTTTGTAGTCGACTTGTGCTGCAACAGATTTTCACATGCTGCTACGAACCTTGTCATAACCTTGTTCCCACAGTGCTAAATAACACTGTAAATCTTACGAATTTGTGGTTTTGGGTGGAGTTTTCTTTTAATTGAAGTTGGAATATTTGTGACATTTTGGCCTTACCTAGGCCTCCTTTAAGATATAATATATAATAATATAATATGCCATTTAGCAGACGCTTTTATCCAAAGCGACTTAGTCATGTGTGCATTTTTACGTATGGGTGGTCCCGGGGATCGAACCCACTACCCTGGCGTTACAAGCGCCATGCTCTACCAATTGAGCTACAGAGGACCACCATAGACTCCATAATGTTTAATCCGTATGTGCTGCAAGTGAATTGGATCATACTTCTACAATTTTTATCAGAACTATAAAACTAGGTGAGATCCCAATCTGGAACTTTGATATATACAGTGAGGGAAAAAAGTATTTGATCCCCTGCTGATTTTGTACGTTTGCCCACTGACAAAGACATGATCAGTCTATAATTTTAATGGTAGGTTTATTTGAACAGTGAGAGACAGAATAACAACAAAAAAATCCAGAAAAACACATGTCAAAAATGTTATAAATTGATTTGCATTTTAATGAGGGAAATAAGTATTTGACCCCTCTGCAAAACATGACTTAGTACTTGGTGGCAAAACTCTTGTTGGCAATCACAGAGGTCAGACGTTTCTTGTAGTTGGCCACCAGGTTTGCACACATCCCAGGAGGGATTTTGTTCCACTCCTCTTTGCAGATCTTCTCCAAGTCATTAAGGTTTTGAGGCTGACGTTTGGCAACTCAAACCTTCAGCTCCCTACACAGATTTTCTATGGGATTAAGGTCTGGAGACTGCCTAGGCCACTCCAGGACCTTAATGTGCTTCTTCTTGAGCCACTCCTTTGTTGCCTTGGCCGTGTGTTTTGGGTCATTGTCATGCTGGAATACCCTTCCACGACCCATTTTCAATGCCCTGGCTGAGGGAAGGAGGTTCTCACCCAAGATTTGACGGTACATCGCCCCGTCCATCGTCCCTTTGATGCGGTAAAGTTGTCCTGTCCCCTTAACAGAAAAACACCCCCAAAGCATAATGTTTCCACCTCCATGTTTGACGGTGGGGATGGTGTTCTTGGGGTCATAGGCAGCATTCCTCCTCCTCCAAACACGGCGAGTTGAGTTGATGCCAAAGAGCTCGATTTTGGTCTCATCTGACCACAACACTTTCACCCAGTTCTCCTCTGAATCATTCAGATGTTCATTGGCAAACTTCAGACGGGCCAGTATATGTGCTTTCTTGAGCAGGGGGACCTTGCGGGCGCTGCAGGATTTCAGTCCTTCACGGCGTAGTATGTTACCAATTGTTTTCTTGGTGACTATGGTCCCAGCTGCCTTGAGATCATTGACAAGATCCTCCCGTGTAGTTCTGGGCTGATTCCTCACCGTTCTCATGATCATTGCAACTCCACGAGGTGAGATCTTGCATGGAGCCCCAGGCCGAGGGAGATTGACAGTTCTTTTGTGTTTCTTCCATTTGCGAATAATCGCACCAAACTGTTGTCACCTTCTCACCAAGCTGCTTGGTGATGGTCTTGTAGCCCATTCCAGCCTTGTGTAGGTCTACAATCTTGTCCCTGACATCCTTGGAGAGCTCTTTGGTCTTGGCCATGGTGGAGAGTTTGGGATCTGATTGATTGATTGCTTCTGTGGACAGGTGTCTTTTATACAGGTAACAAACTGAGATTAGGAGCACTCCCTTTAAGAGTGTGCTCCTAATCTCAGCTCGTTACCTGTATAAAAGACACCTGGGAGCCAGAAATCTTTCTGATTGAGAGGGAGTCAAATACTTATTTCCCTCATTAAAATGCAAATCAATTCATAACATTTTTGACATGCGTTTTTCTGAATTTTTTTGTTGTTATTCTGTCTCTCACTGTTCAAATAAACCTACCATTAAAATTATAGACTGATCATTTCTTTGTCAGTGGGCAAACGTACAAAATCAGCAGGGGATCAAATACTTTTTTCCCTCACTGTATGCCTGTGTATCAGGGTTTCTTTCTTAAACTATTGGTCAGGGTATGTGAGAGGTGGATCGCGAGTTATGAGAATACATCTATAATCACATCTATAATTAATTTGGGTCGCTGGGAGGACGATTAATTTCTCATTTGGGTCTCGAGCTAAAAAAGTTTAAGAACCCCTGCCGTAGATTTACAGAATGAAATAACACATATGGAATCATGTAGTAACCAAAAAAAGTGTTAAACAAATAAAAATATATTTTAGATTCTTCAAAGTTGCCACCCTTTGCCTTGATGACAGCTTTGCACAACCAGCTTCACCTGGAATGCTTTTCCAACTGTCTTGAAGGAGTTCCCACATATGCTGAGCACTTGTTGGCTGCTTTTCCTTCACTCTGCAGTCCAACTCATCCCAAACCATCTCAATTGGGTTGATTGTGGAGGCCAGGTCATCTGATGCAGCACTCCATCACTCTCCTTCTTGGTCAAATAGCCCTTACACAGCCTGGATGTGTGTTTTGGGTCTTTGTCCTGTTGAAAAACAAATGATAGTCCCACTAAGCACAAACCAGATGGGATGGCGTATCGCTGCAGAATGCTGTGGTAGCCATGCTGGTTAAGTGTGCCTTGATTTCTAAATAAATCACTGATAGTGTCACCAGCAAAGCACCATCACACCACCTCCTCCATGCTTCACGGTGGGAACCACACATGCAGAGATCATCCGTTCACCTACTCTGCGTCTCACAAAGACACGGCGGTTGGAACCAAAAATCTCAAATTTGGACTCATCAGACCAAAGCACAGATTTCCACCGGTCTAATGTCCATTGCTCGTGTTTCTTGGCACAAGCAAGTCTCTTCTTCTTATTGGTGTCCTTTAGTAGTGGTTTCTTTGCAACAATCCGACCATGAAGGCCTGAATCACGCAGTCTCCTCTGAACAGTTGATGTTGAGATGTGTCTGTTACTTGAACTCTATGAAGCATTTATTTGGGCTGCAATTTCTGAGGCTGGTAACTCTAATGAACTTATCCTCTGCAGCAGAGGTAACTCTGGGTCTTCCTTTCCTGTGGCAGTCCACATGAGAGCCAGTTTTATCATAGCGCTTGATGGTTTTTGCGACTGCACTTGAAGAAACTTTCAAAGTTCTTGAAATGCTCCGTATTGACTGACCTTCATGTCTTAAAGTAATGATGGACTGTCGTTTCTCTTTGCCTATTTGAGCTGTTCTTGCCATAATATGGACTTGGTCTATTACCAAATAGGACTATCTTCTGTATACCACCCCTACCTTGTCACAACACAACTGATTGGCTCAAACGCATTAAGAAGGAAATAAATTCCACAATTTAACTTTTAAGAAGGCAACACCTGTTAATTCAAATGCATTCCAGGTGACTACCTCATGAAGCTGGTTGAGAGAATGCCAAGAGTGTGCAAAGTTGTCATCAAGGCAAAGGGTGGCTACTTTGAAGAATTTGTTTAACAATGTCTTTGGTTTTTACATGATTCCATATGTGTTATTTCATAGTTTTTATGTCTTCTATTATTCTACAATGTAGAAAATAGTAAAAATAAAGAAAAACCCTGGAATGAGTAGGTGTGTCAACTTTTGACTGGTATAGTATATTATGATCAACAACATATTGAAACATTTGCCAAATGAAAAGTTTTTTTTCCCTTCAATATTCATGTTTAGATTGATCTTTATTCATAAATGAATGCAAGAAATAGTTTTAAAAAATCAAAATACTACTCATATTACAGAGCAAGCGGTAAAGCTTAATATGACAGATGAAACATTATGGTGTCAAAAGGAGGCCTGAGTAAGGCCAAAATGTCAAATGTTTGAACTTCAATTAATTATTTCTCAATTATGCCTTAAGATACAAATGTCAAATAAAGTAATCAAACTTCCTCCAAAGGACC